GAAGCGACCAAGACTAATATCAAAACCTATGGTTCTGTGACTAGGAACAAGATATACCGAAGGGCTAAAAACGCTCATAATTATGAAATTATTCGTATGTTCATGAATCTACAAGAACCCATGAAGTTTCCGCTGATTTTTCTCGAGTAAAGGTCATACGTAAGACAGAAAAGAACAAAGCATTCTTGTGGACTTGAAGATGTGCGGCACGGCGACTTTGGCGAACACAAGGTTGACGTCACAAAAAAGGGAATCCCTTCCCTATGTAACCAGTTTAGCAGTAGTTTAAATATGAACCCAAGAAAGGCGTGCAAAATCAAAAAAGGACGATGATGTTTGAACTTCCAGTCTTTGACAAGAACCGTGAGATGTCACACTTGGAAGACGATTCAAAAGTTCCGTGACAGAAGAATAAAAAAGGGAAAGCAAAGTTTGCAGCTGAAGCGTATTGAGAAATAAACTGAAATTAAACCTTCGATTATTGAGGATAAAAAATTGGAAAGATCAAAAGAGCGGAATCCTCGGGACATTTAAAAAACAGAATTGATGAGTTTACACACCCTCTTTTTGAAACATATTGCCAAGCGAAAACCCATCTCCAAGTTTTGAAAGAGTATAAAACAATTGCGATCATAATCAGATGGTAATTCCTCTATCGCAGAAATTTTCTCAAAGTTTGTTTGCTGTCTTAGTGACCGAAAGCTTCTTAAACGTTGATTAAACAACTTTATCATTAAACTGACCTTTTCAGGCGGAGTTTGGAAAACGAGTGTTCGCTTTGCCTCATTTCGTGCTTTCAATCTTTCCGCAAATGAGCCAATACCATTGCTTGGTACTGCAGCAGCTTCGGTGGAAGTGTTTGGCTGAGAGGGATTTCCTTCCGAGGCTAGTCCTTGAGTAGATCGTGTTTCTCTTGTTGGAAAGAAGGAAACAGGCTTCTGAATCGATGAAGACGATGGTCCCATGCCATCGTCTCGCTTATCAGTATACGATTCAGACTGTGAGATATTGATCGGTCCCCTCGAACTAATCGCCTCATTGCCTCTAGCTTCCTTCTCCATCGCTTTCTTTGGAGAACTGTGGTTGTCCAAATTTTGCTTCAAAGACCGACAGAAATCGTCGTAGCCTTCACTCTAAAGAGTGACAATAATTTTTAAAAAATATTAAAAACTATCAAATAAACTATGTATAATTCTACACGCACAACAAACAAATCTGGTGATATGGGGACCTGGCTGTGCGTAGATCGAGCAGCTGCAACACAATCGATGGTGGTGTTCAGGGTCTGAAATCTCTGCACTTCATTAAAATCTGCGACACATCTGGCTTTAGTACTCCGTTGCTAAGGAATTCATAGTTTGTAGTCAACATAGTAACCACTTGAAGGTGAACAACGTAATAAAAAATTACTATTTAGAAATTTCAATCAACTTTGTGCACCTGTTCTTAATTAGTAACAAGATTGTTAATTGCAGTGAGTTGGAATACCTTGGCTAGCTCCTCCAGTGTATTGAACCTTTTTTTCAAATTCTGTAAACTTGATGACCCAACGTCCGCAGAACTAGAGGACACGGATGTATCTTCGCTACTGTCCGTGTCACGCAAGCGATGCAGCAGCCTAAGTTNATAGCCGAAGTAAGGATAGCAATAATACCAGACGGAAAACAAAGGGTACCTGGAATTCTTCGATCCACCAGCAGTCACTGCATCTCGGAATCTGATCATGGAGTCACTGGCTACTTCCTTGCGCGTGTCACGCAACATTTTCCGTAAATAGTCACGTTCCGAAGTGAGCGAGGCGATCTTGTCATTCTGAATCGTAGGGTTTAGATATGAAAATAAGGGGCCCAGAAAACCTCAATAAAAACTCACCATTACTCGGATAATGTTCTTCAGCTCGTTTATTTTTACCACCAGGGCCTCTTCATTAGACTTATTTGCAACAGGTACCACAGAACTTTTCCCTCTTATTTCTCGAACGGTAGACTTGAGCTCGTCCAGTTCTTCTTTTAAATAGGCATTCTCATCTCGAAGACGCTCCACCTCGTAAGAACATCGTGATAGACGATGTCGCTCCCCCATTTCCTTGTGAAGCCTATCATTCGCAGTTTTCAAATCTTCCTGGAAAAAGAGGAAAAATGAGTATCCAAATGCTCTAATAGAGCAACGGTGTCAAGATTCTTCAAAAAAGGAGGCCAAACATTGTTTTGAAGTAGAATCATTAGTTCACCTCTAAACTTGTCATTTTAGTCAGCTGCGAGCGCAGTTGATAGATTTCTGTACTGCTATCGCTTAGCTTCTTCTTGAGAGCTGCATTAACCTTCTCTAGCTCCGCTGATTTCTCCACCAAACCCAGCTGCTCGGTTTCGAATTCTTGCCTGAAAAATCATATGAGAAAACAGCAAACGAACGATAAATTACAGTTATCACAATTGTATAGCTGTTTTTTCGACCAACCGATAGAATTCTTTCAACTCCTCTTGCTTCCCGCTGAGTTTCGCCCATTCTTTGTTTAGAAGCTCCACATCGGAGGCGAACTTTCTGAAGCGACAATATTCAGAAAGGATAAGTTAACAGTTCGAAAACAGGATGACATACGCTTGGAACTCAGCCTTTGCACGATCTAGGTGTTCCTTATTCATGGCCAACTCAGCAAGACGTATTTCTAAGGATTTTCTTGTGATCTCGAGAATATTTTCTTTCTCCTGCAACAAATCAAAATCAAAGCGATTAGGCGAATAGTAATTCTTCAAACTCGCATACCGCCAGCTGCAACTCGATTTTGTGGCGGAGAGCTCGATCTTTCTCAGCAAATTGTTCTTCCAATCGTGCTTTATGCCGTTCCAGCTGGAATGGGTTTTCAATAGTAACGATGCAGCAGTTAGTGATGTAAACAACTTCATTAAATAAACGCCTTTCCAGCCGAAAATGAAAAGTTTTATGAACGGTAACGAGCATACTTCTCGACGCCTCATCTCCATTTGCTCTGCATACTCGGCACGAATATCAGCCAACTTTCGATCGGTGTCTACTCGATCTTTCTCTCGTTGCTGCAAAAGACGTTTTTCATAGCGCCGTTCCACACGTGTGCAGAGTCTCTCCGCTATCAAACGCAACTGCAGTTGAGCATCCGTTGTTATTCGACTCTGAAGAGGAAAGGGTTATTTAACGAACCGTATCTTTCAAATTGTTTTTGTTGCAGTCTAATACTACCAGCTCAGGGAGTAATCCTGAGATATGCGGTACTATGAGGAGACTTCTTTCACATGAAATGAATAAACGACATACTTTGTCAATACTTGCAGGATATTTTGAGTACTCTACGTTGACAAGTTGGTTTCCGCCATCACTGAGCGCTCGATATACGGCTCTCGTTAGAATACTCTCGATATCCCATGTAGGAATTTGCTAAAGTACTACACATTGATAAACAATATTAAAACAACCTTTCGAAAAGACGAAAATGGAAACGAGCCTTTGCCTCTGCGGCTATCGACCTGAATACCTGCTCCGCCATGACAACTCATCCCATACCTGTTGGTCCACCTGAGAAAATCGTATGGATCGTTAAAAGCCATTTACATGCATACAGGTACGTTTCGGAGCTTCACAGCATTAAGAACAAACAGACGGCCAAATTTGTAACTATTTATCAATTTACTACAAAATAAAATCATAACGTGTTATCCAAGAAAGAAATATCTATGACAACTACAAATCTAGAAGCTACCCTTGGAAATAACATCTACCATGGTCGTTGTGTAACTCCCACGTTCAGATACGAAGTTCGTTTGTCGAAAGTTGGGCTGAAAAACAAGGTTGATGAAAATTCAACGTAGAAAAACTGGGAAAACGACTTTTCAATATAATATAACAAATATAAATTGAGTCTGTAAAGCACATCTGAACGAAGCGGCTTTCCAATAAGGAACAAAAACCGTCAGGCAGTGAAAAAAGAATATCGAAATCTCACAGCTTAACACTTGACGGTTCCAAGAAAATCTTTGTAGCATTTATTGAGAACTAACATGCACTCTAATTGAGAGCTCCAATAACAATGGCGCCCTCCATCAGGGAATTGGCAGCCCTATTCGCTCATAAGTGGAAAAGGAAGCGGTAAAAACTACTTTCAAGGTATTAAATGTTGTTATCGCCTGCGCCTCGCTATTTCGTTTCGCCCAAAAGCTGTAGGACGAAATAAGTAACGTTGCGAATATTTTCCTTTCGTCCAATGTGAGCGAGCGACTTCTCTCACTGCCGCCAATTATAAAGCCTATTACGAATCACCTGACATTAGAACTTGCTGGAAATAACGGTGCTCCCTTTCCCCTCTCGAGAATAAATAATAGTCGTCTCAACCAACTTTCTTTTCTCAAGTTTTTTATACGAACACGATATTACAGCATGCTTACATTACCTGTTAACTGCCAATAATTACTAATTGTCACCAGCTATTGAGCGAGGAGAGTGAGCAAATGACGGTCAAACCACAAGGCGAAGTTATGATGTACTTTTTTTCGCAAATAGAAGTAATTACCAGTAGCCTAATGTGATCGATCTTTTGACCAGGCATGCTGCAAAGAGCATGCGACACTCAAAAAGCGGGCTATGTGAATCTGCTCAACATACCATGCTCGAAAACAAGTACAGTATGTACAAAAATCTTAAGAAATCACATGAGTTGTAGAATTCGAGAGGACTATAGAGAAAGTAAATCTACCAGATGTCAGATTTGGGTCCAAAAAAGTAAAAGCGAATCTGAAGAATTGCAAAGATCAATACAAAGAAAGATACAGGAATACATACGTGAAATATCTGTGTTTGCCCGGCTCTTCAAGAGCTTGCTTGATCAATCCAGGATACTTCTCGTTTATCTCCACTTCATTGGTGATTACTTGTCTAAGAGGCGAAGTCTCAATACCACGAAGATGTTGCCAGTCCTTGAAAAGATTTCGGTTGGCGGAAATGAAAAGAAATAAAATTAAGGGAAATAATTCATTTTACTCACCTTCACTTCGTATTTCCAATAGTAATAGATCGTTTCCAAGGCAATGAATGCCATGATGGCCTTGGGTACAAAAACTCGAATAACTGTTCCATAGTAAACTCCGAATGTTGGCTATAGAAAGCATATCTATGTATCAGCAAAAGTCATAAAAAGTTGACAGAAAACCTTGAGGAAGTGAAGATAAAGCTTGTCCCAAGGCCACCTATAGAGAATACGAATAGGATTTAGCTGACGGTGTACAGCGTCTACTACGATTGGCTCGTCAGGATGCAAGTGCTGATCCTGGAACGAAGTTTGAATTTACGAAAAGATCTTCAGAGATGAAGTAAAATGGCAAACTTTGAGCCATTTCATTCGCCATTCTCTTTCAGCTGGACTAAGACCAGCAGCTCGGACACGCTCATCCGCCATGTGTAGTTCCAAAGACATAGGGTCATTGACTCTATAAAATAATTATTAGGAACAATATTATTCAAAAAGTGAAATAACAGAACGCTGCCCACCGATGAACTGGTTTGTCCGATGTCTTCACTAAAGCTGGAGGAGGTACCCCCGATCGGGTATACGGAGAATTACCCTCCCTAGGCGGCTTCACATATTGGTTACCCATGGTGAGACCTCAAAAATGCTTTTGTACATAAGTTATAGTTGCCGGAGCAGAGGCTTTAAATTCAAGCGAAATCAATTGAGAAAAGAAAGCATGCGGACGAAGAGACGTGCGTGCATCAATATTGTGCTATGATGATGACTCATTTAAATTCGAACGCAGAACAACACAAGTGGAATAGAAAAGTCAAAAACTCGGTCGAATAAGTTTGAAGAAAGTTCGAGATGCCAACGATTTGAAAGGAACATGTGCATGCAACATAAAAAGAGGGAATATTATACGCGTATGCTATTAAACAGAAAGCTTTTGATCCGTATAATTTGCTCATTTCAAAGAAAATAAGATTATCATTAGGATTGGCTTTCTTTGTAAAGAAGAAACACAACAAACACATATACTTTCCCAAATACCAAAACCCCAAAAGACCAATACAGCGACTGTCACCTTAGCAACGACAAAACAAACAAAAACCTTGGAAGTCTGTCAACTAGTGAGGTCTCCATGGAGCGCTATCCACACCTGGCATTAGTTGCTGGAAACAAGTTTCAGGCGTAAGGTTTAAATGATTAGTGCAATTGCGACAGTTTTATTTCTACGGAACCCCATGCTACCCTAAGGTAAAGCCCAATTTACAAAATCCCCGCTTATCTCCTCCCCGGTGATCTACCGTTCAAGAGACGCTTTCATTGAAAGTCCAACAGAAGTAGATCTGTGTATTGGCTCAGTCTATTTTGAGGCGTCGACGTAGAACTGCAGTACGGTATGGTTTAAGCGTAGTGAAAATGCGTTGGATCCGCACTACGGTGAAGACGTTAGAATTAACGACAACAATATTAAAATTGATGTCCATTTATTCACTTGGGCTTTTCTAGCTGATAATCAATCTCGAATAAAAGTTTGGGACGACAGGTGATGGTCTGAGTTAGATTCTCCTGTACCACATAAGCTAAAGACTTTCCAAAAATGTTCCGGAAACCATTTTCGGTGAAGAAGAACAATAATATGAGGAATTCCGATGTGTAAGTTCCTTAGAATTGCAATGGACAACTCCGAAAGTGCTTTATTTCAGAAGGAAGCTCCTTCAGAGACTTCCACCGGAAGTTGGAGAGCTGATTCCTAAAAAGGCCCTTGTTGCTCATGCAAAGTTTGTCACATTCAATGGTGCCAATTTGAATGTGTATCTGGTCGACAAGGAACCAATGTTCTTCGATTTTGATGCCGAAGGTGTATTGTTTCCAACGATATATTGCACGAAAATGGCTCCTACTGTTTTCCCTATGCTTCTTGTGCACGAACCTGTTCTCGCCCATCTACAGAATGGGGCAGACCTCATGCTCCCAGGTTAGTGCTTGAGCAGATGTTGATTTAGGGAACGAATTTATTCTATTTTCCTGTATGCTGCTGTGATACTGGTCGTCTTGATTATTGCTATCGTTTCCATACTTATTCGTTACCTTAATTGACCAGCTCTGATGCTTAGCGCTGTCGTAAAGTGGAAGAGATACTGATAAGGAGCGAGAGATCTCATGTGCAATTGAGCCGAAATGTACTTTTGACTGACTTCTGCGTAATACGTAAGAGCTGATTTTTTCAATTCCCAGAGTGGCCCATGGAGCGTTTCTATGGTCCTTGCCGTCGCCACTCTCTAACTGCTCTATACATCCTTTCTTTTTTACATGATCGGTTGATTTCATTGTTCTCCTCTTGAATACATGATCCCCGACAAGCATCAAGTCTCCTTTCGGCCTCATTTCCAACTACAAATGGATAGGTGGTCCGAACCAAAAGAACAAACAGAATCTATGGGGAGGGATCGAAGAAGCTGCCACATACCGACCTCTTCGGAAGAGCGTGATAGAGTCTCCTCACCTCGGGAGACGGGCGTTAGGAACGATTTTGGGTAATGGATTTGCCGCACGCGGCTGTCGCGGACCACTCTTCGCCGTTAATACGGCTCTAGTGTTCTTCATACAGCTCAATCGATATGCAATCATTATTTTTTGCATAATTCTACTACTAGTACTTTTGTGTATTTCTTACCTCCTGCTGCAT